ATATAAATAAATTAATCTCTAATTAAATTATACTTTATCATATACCAACAGAAAATTAATTATTTATTTTACTATCACGCCCATTATTATTATTATTATTATTATTATTATTATTATTATTATTATTATTATTATTATCCCTAAACTTTTAATAATTATATTTTTTTACAAAATTACACATAATAATATATAATAAATTATATATTTTTCGAACTGTGATATGCTAGACGATTTTCTAAACTATGTAGTTGTTCTGATAGGTATTCAAGTTTTTCGCACAATCGAATTAAAAATAAAATTTCTATATTATTTTGTCTTACTGTTATTTTATCTGATTGATTTATTCCTTGATAAGTACTAATTCCTTCCGGGTTATTATGAAAATCTTCTGCTTGTTTTAAAATAGTCTGGTAATCTCTATTAGCTTTCTTATCACTACTCATAAACTAAGATCTTACTAATTGTTCTAAAATTTCTAATTTTTGTTTTAGATTATCTTGAATTTGATTAATTTGTTCTATTTGTTTAGCTGTGTGTGGGGTTGAGTTAGTGGTTTACCACTATTTTGAAATTGGGCTGAGAATTATCTGACTAATTCTACAGTTATGCTAATAGATCTTCAAGCTGTTGTATAGCTATTTTTAAGGCCTCTTGTTTTTCAGTTAGCTGTCTATTTATTTGAGAAATTTTTAAACTGTAACTTTCTAGGGATTTGCCAGAAGCTAATGATAAAAGAAACTGATTTTTTAAACTGTAATTTTCTATAGATCTGTTAGAAGCTAATGTTAAAAGAAACTGATATCTAAATTTTTGATCTTCTAATTCTTGTATTAGTTCAATACTAATTTTAATTTTATTCCTAAGGTTTTCGTCTAAGGGCATATACTTTTCTTTTAATTTTTATTTCTAAAGTCTATGTTTTAAGGGCATACAAATTTTGATTTTTTGAAATTCTTATATGGACAATATTTCCTTAATATTTCTACTCGGGTTGTACTCCTTTTATTCTAAAATTCTTTTCTATGGTAAAAACTATTTTTAAGAAATGTTTGTTTTCATTACATGTACTCCCACCTTGAGACTAAGCCTCGTTCAACATGGTATATTTTTATTTTCCATTTTTTACCTTTCCCTTTCTGCTTACAATTCGCCCTCCAACGCCTAACCACGGCTCACACGGGCTCTTCAGCTAAGGTCACTCAGTAATAAAATAGAAAACTGAAGATACTACGAAGGTTCAAAGCATGTAATATTAATGAGCAAACAAGCATTCCATAAACTTAATTTTTCCAAAAAAAAATAATAGAATAGAAGAGTTACCCTTTCGAAATATTTAAGGAAAAAGATAAACTACTCACACTTCATATTAATAAGAAAGATACTTACAAAGATTATATTACTGACTCTGAAACTCTGAAAAACTTAATACACTTAGAGGTTTTTTGAGAGGGATTGGAAAATTTACAACGCAGAGTGAAGTGGTATTTTTCATTCTGCTTTCTTCGTTGGCATGCAAGCCAATTTATATAACTCAAAAGAAAGACCACCATCGTTCACCCTCAATCTTTCACTGTCGCGCATCATTACATCACCACTACCACTCACATTGCTTCGCTTCAACATTGAGGTTTTTCTCTTCCTCTCTCTATTTCTCTTATTCTCTTTATCTTTGTCCCTCTCGCTTCATTTCCCCATTTCCCTCCACCTTATTTTCAGTGAAATTGGGCTAAAGCCCGTTTGGACGCTCAGCAAGATTCAACTTAGCTAACCCTAAACCTCTCAACTCACACACATTCACATCGTTCACCATATATATTTATCATCTTCTCTAAAACAGCTCTCACAAGTCTAGGGTTTCTTGCAGCTGTGCAACAATGGTAACCTCTCTCTATCTTTCTCTCTCTATACATACAAATATATGTGTAGGGGCTTATAGAAGTGGATTAATGGAAACAGGGGAAGGGAACATGGAGTTTTGGTAAGAGAAGGAACAAGACCCACATCCTTTGTGTGAGGTGTGGTCGCCGTAGCTTTCATTTCTAGAAGAACCGATGCTCTGCTTGTGCTTTCCCTGTTGCCCGTAAGAGGACATGTAAGCCCTTTCTATTTCTTTCTCTCTCTCTCTCTCTCTCTATATATATATATATATGCTGGCTGGTTGTATTGATCTGATTTGGTCATATTTTTAGATCACCGGAGTGTGAAGGCGATCCAAAGGAAGACGACTGGGACAAGTCAGATGAGGTACCTCCGCAACGTACCTCGCAGATTCAAGAGTAGTTTCAGAGAAGGTGATACCTCCCACCACCTTACAGTTTTCTTTTTTTTTGATTCTAAGTACATATCTCAGTTGATTGAAATGCAATTGTTTGTCCCAGGTTCATCTGTACCATCCTTAGTTTCGTTGTCTACTCCATAAGCATGAAAGCTCTCTTACGAAACCAAGGTAAATTGGGCTCTTTCTTTTCTTTCTCTTCAATTTTCAACTCACAATTCGACTGTAATTCATACTTTCAGTGATTTCTCATAACCAAATTCGACTGAATTCAGTTTCTAATCCCCATTTATTTGGTGCTACAGGTACAATCTTTCACCATTATCACAAATTCTCTCTCGCATTCTCACATGGCGACAAGTTCTCATCTTCCTCCAACAACAGACCCTTTGATCAGAATTCGACACCCATCTCATCTATGGAGGTGGGTAGTCAAGGAAGTTTGCGAAAATCGGAATGGGTTAGACAAGGCATCGATAGTGTGTGTCAGATTTTGGAGGGTCGTTCATGGGGACCTTCTCTGGAAAATGCACTACCTGTGTTTGATGAAATGCCTCACACAGAGTTAGTCAATGGAGTTTTAAAGAGGCTCAAGGATTTTGATCTAGCAATGAGCTATTTTCGATTTGTTGAGACGAAAACCAACAAAGCACATTGTCCAGAAGCTTATAATTCGCTTCTCATGGTAATGGGTAGGAGCAAAAAATTTGATTGTCTTGATCAGATTTTGGAGGAAATGAGTCTTTCTGGGTTTGGCCCGTCTAACAGTACTTGTTTTGATTTAGTTGTCAGCTGTGTCAAGTCTCATAAGCTGCGAGAAGCGTTTGGCTTCATAGAATCCATGAGAAAATTCAAATTTCGCCCTGCATTTTCGGCTTATACAACTCTGATTGGTGCTTTGTCTGCAGTTCTTGAACCTGACCTCATGCTTACTCTATTTCATCAGATGCAAGAGCTAGGCTATGAAGTGAATGTGCAATTGTTCACAACGCTCATTCGCGTGTTTGCCAAAGAGGGTCGGGTTGATGCTGCTCTTTCGTTGTTAGATGAGATGAAAAGCAACTGCTTTGATGCAGATATTGTCCTCTATAATGTTTGTATTGATTGCTTTGGGAAAGCGGGTAAGGTGGATATGGCTTGGAAATTCTTTCATGAGATGAAAGCGAATGACCTTATGCCCGATGATGTGACCTATACAAGCATGATAGGGGTTCTTTGGAAAGCTAATAGGTTGAATGAAGCTGTGGAGCTGTTTGAGCAGATGGAACTTAACAGGAAAGTTCCATGTGCATATGCTTATAACACCATGATCATGGCTTATGGCTCGGCTGGAAAGTTCGATGAAGCTTACAATTTACTTGAGAGACAAAAACTAAAGGGAAGCATTCCTAGTGTGATTGCATATAATAGTATTCTTACATGTCTTGCGAAGAATGGTAGGGTAGATGAGGCTTTAAGGATATTTGAGGAGATGAAGAAAGATGCAACCCCTAATCTTTCAACCTATAATATTCTCATAGGCATGCTTTGTAAAGCGGGAAAAGTGGAAGAAGCTTTGGTGATTCAGGAAGCCATGAAAGGAGCTGGCTTGTTTCCAAATGTTTTGACCATGAATATAATGATTGATAGGTTGTGTAAGGCTCAAAAACTTGATGAAGCTTGCTCTATATTTGAAGAAATGGATCACAAAGTTTGCACCCCAAATGCATATACATTTAGTTCTCTGATAGATGGGTTGGGAAGACATGGTAGACTAGATGATGCCTATAGGCTTTATGAACAGATGTTAGATTCTGATCGGGTTCCAGATGCCATTGTCTGTACATCCCTTATCCGGAACTTTTTTAAGACTGGAAGGAAGGAAGATGGTCACAAAATATACAAAGAAATGGTCCGTAGGGGTGTTTTTCCTGACCTTACCCTCCTTAATACTTACATGGATTGTGTTTTTAAAGTTGGTGAAACTGAGAAAGGCAGGGCTTTGTTTGATGAAATTAAGGCTCGGGGGTTAACCCCGGATGTGCGGAGCTATTCTATATTAATACATGGCCTTATTAAAGCAGGTTTTGCAAATGAGACTTACGGGGTGTTCTATACTATGAAGGAACAGGGATGTGTTTTGGATACCCTTGCTTACAACACTGTTATTGATGGATTCTGCAAATCGGGTAAGGTGAATAAAGCTTACCAGCTTTTGGAGGAAATGAAGGTGAAGGGTCACCAGCCCACTGTGGTTACCTATGGTTCTGTTATTGATGGGCTTGCTAAGATCGACAGGCTTGATGAAGCTTACATGCTTTTTGAAGAAGCAAAATCTAAAGGTGTGGAACTAAATGTAGTCGTGTATAGTAGTCTCATTGATGGCTTTGGGAAGGTGGGTAGAATTGATGAAGCATATCTGATCATGGAAGAGTTGATGCAAAAAGGATTAACACCTAATGTATACACATGGAATTGCTTGCTCGATGCGTTAGTAAAGGCAGAGGAAATTAATGAAGCCCTTGTCTGTTTTAATTCCATGAAAGACTTGAAATGCCCACCCAACACTGTAACTTACAGCATTCTCATAAATGGTCTTTGTAGGGTTCGGAAATTCAATAAGGCCTTTGTGTTTTGGCAGGAGATGCAGAAGCAAGGATTTAAACCCAATATGATCACTTACACAACCATGATCTCTGGTCTAGCAAAAGCAGGAAACATATTGGAGGCTAATGGACTCTTCGAAAGATTCAAGGCAAATGGGGGTATACCCGATGCTGCTTGTTATAATACTATGATAGAGGGGTTAAGCATTTCAAATAGGGCAATAGAAGCGTACTCACTTTTTGAGGAAACTCGGTTGAAAGGTTGTAATATTTATACTAAAACTTGTGTAGTACTTTTGGATGCTTTGCATAAGGCTGAATGCCTTGAGCAGGCGGCAATTGTGGGTGCTGTGTTGAGGGAAACTGCAAAGTCTCAGCATGCTTCAAGATACTTATGACATCAGTGTTGTAATTCTTGTTGATCATTGATGGATCAATATGCCATGTTTTGTTTGGTGAATTGACACATACAAGCCCATGTCATCTTGCCAGAGAAGCAAATTATGGGACACAGAGAGGCGGTTCATATATATTCTTTGCCTTCTCAATTCTTAAAAACAGTTGAATTTGCACCCTTCAAAGGTATTTCCTTATCTGATTGGTAATCAACTACTACAAGTTGAGAATATGAAGTACAAAATTGAAGCTTTGCACACAATTGTCAGTACATGCGGAAGGCATTTAGCTATATTTATATTGGAAAATGATATTATACAGATTTTTCATATTGGAAAATGATATCTATATTCATATCTGTTAGGTAAAACAGTTAAATTTTGGTATGAAGCAATGAAAAATATCTTGTGGACAACATTCTCTGCCATTTTGAGTCCTACTATTATTGGTTTCTCTGCTCCTAACTCAGATGCCTTTCTTTTTTTATCAAAAATGCAAAAAATGCTTCTACCTTCACACTTTATTTTAGTTGTGAAACGGCATCACAAGTATACAATCAGCGTGGATGCCAACACTTTCTTCCTCCCATGAACTTGTTTTCATGGTATTATGACTATTGTTAACGTTATTCTCTGAAATTAACCTTCTCAATGGACTAAACCGGCTCGTGATTTTCATGGGCTCTTGTGGGCAGTCAAGGCTCAAGAGTGCTTCTCACATTTGTGTTCATGGATTTTCATGGGCTCTTGTGACCTTAAAAGGTAGATGTGTTTGCCCTAACAATATCAACACTTTATTCTGTTAAATTCTTGAAATTGCTTTGCAAAATTGTACAAGACATTGTTAGAGGTTGTGGTTGTGTTTGTATCTCCTGTATTTGACAAAGTATTCTCTGCGGTTGAAACTTCTAAAGAGTCACTATATTTGCACACGTGGCTGTTCAACCATATGCCTACGCAACCCATGTCGCTCTCTCACTGCATACCCCATTCGTTTTTGCCTTTCCTTTTGAATATTGATGCCTTCCAGAAATATTTACCTTTCCTGGCCTTTTTTTGTACTTATTCCCGGAGTTTTAAAAGCTTGCTGAAAAGTATAATCCTCCGTGTTTTTGAAAATTTTGGCAACCTCCTGTCAGCACCAGGATCATGCCACCGGTGCTTTCTTCTTCTTTTTTTCAATGTTCCTAAAATGTCAATAATATTCCTGGGATTTAAAAAATGCCAGAAACATTCTCGAAACTGGATTTTGAGGAGTATTTGAAAAATGGCGAGAAGTTTTGCTGGCTTTTTTTCCACCTTTCTTGGGGTTTAAAAAATGCTCGGAATTTCTTTTTTGGAGGTAGTGTCTGCTAGTCCCAAGCAGGCAGACATGGAAGAATACCCGGACACAAACACAAACATACTGTGGTTTGGGCTCAATGGAAGTAAAGATGACATTTGCTTAGAAATTGAGTTTGAACGGAGAGGGCTTCAATAGATGTGTTTTTAGTCCGAGTAACAGTGCCAGTTTTACCTTTCAGTGATGCCTCCACACATCACCCCAACCCTTGAAATCATGTTAAACCCTAAAATTACGATTTTATGATGAAATTGTCCATTATTTGTAACATTTATTTTGTTTGTTTGGATACTTCAGGTGGACATATAACTGGAAGATAAGCTGCATGTGTAACCGGGTGCAATCATAGGAGTACTAATATATTGGATCCCATCACAACTCCACAGTTAAGTGTGGTTGGGCAAGAGTAGTATTAGGATGGGTGATCGATCCCCTGAGAAGTTCTCGTGTTGCACCCTTTTTGCACTCCTAGTTGGCCACCATAATTATCTTAAGGGCTTAATCTCAAAGGGCAGTCATCGATTCAACTCTTCTTAAGGGAGAGTTGAATTAAGAGGCAAGGCATTTGGTGCTTTGTAAGGGTGGGGAGGCTAATTCTCATAAGTACTAATCTAAATGCTAACAACTAATTTTTGCCGATCAAAAATAAAAAAATAAAAAAAAAGCTGCACGTGTAGCCATCGGATTTGTAAAATTTGAAAAAAATTATTGGCCTTGTTTGGGAAGTTGGCTATTTTAATAGACTATTTTAGTTTTTAACTATTTTAGTAGGTTAAAATTTTCGTGTTTGGAAAGATGGTTGAATTTTTTTGTAGTTTGATGTGATGTTAGTGAGAGAAAAAGTGAAATGATTATAGATTTGATGTGATATTTTGTCTTATTAATTATTTTAACCTATTTTATTTTTTTGTGAATTTTAACCTAAGAAGTCAAATTTTAACCTTTGTCCAACAAGGCGATTGTTGGCGACAAGTGCTGCAATTTGGTGCACTGATCACCTGTCCCATTATGTTAACCTACTCCTGGTTTGTGAGGAAGCATAGCTCAGATTCTCCTGTGTAGCTTTTGGCTTCTTTGGTGTATACTTGATGAATATTGCTGTAACATAATTCTCTGCCTTTTTGGTAATAGAGCCGTGCTAGGGAGCTCGAATTTGGAGCCCCAGAATCCCCCGAATCAACCAAAAATCAAGAGAAGAAGGAAGAAGAAGAAGAAAAAGGACTAGAGGGGGCAATATCAACCGGGCGGAGGCGAGGCGGAGACAATCGGCCAACGAGCTGCGATCGGCCAACGAGCTGCCACGAGCGATGAGTTGCCACGAGCGACGATCTACGATCTGCGATCGACATCCACCGTTGCTCGCACTGCCATCGCCACACCCACCGTCGCATCTGCCGTCTCTCTCTCTCTGTTTCCCTTCTCTCCTCTACTCCTCTCTCTTTCTCCCTCTCTCCTCTCCTCTGTTTCTCTCTCTCTCTCCCTCAGTTTCAGAAAAAAAAATAATAAAAAAAAAAAAAATAGACTGCCCAAAACGACGTCGTTTTAGGCAGTCGAGGGATTCGGGGGGACGAACTTTCGAGCTACAAAACATTTTTCTTTGATAATATACAAAATTCAAGTTTTTTTTTGTTGCATATTTATTTTGAACAGGAAACATTGTGTAGAGTTGGGTTAGACTAAAAGTTTCAAGGTTATGGATGTGTCTAGTGGTGATTATTAAGTTTTGTTTGGGAAGTGGGGTTGATTTTTTATTTTTTTGATTTTTTTGGCTATTTTAGCTTGGGTTAAAAAGTTTGGTTTTGGAATGACTTTTTGGCTTTTTTGATTTTTTTGTGAGAGAATAGTGTAATAATTATGGATTTTATGTAATATTTTATTGGGCAAATTACATATACACCCCTCCAGGTTTGACAAAATTACATTTAAGATACCCCCCTGAGGTTTGAAAAAAATTTTTTACGAATTCCCCCCTGAATGCTATATTTGCATTAAGGAAATTAGGGGGTAATTTGTATGAAATAAAACCTCAGGGGGTAAATTGTTTATGAAAATACAAAACCTCAGGGGGGGGGATGTAATTTCGAACCCTCAGGGGTATCTGTAATTTAACCAAAACCTGAGGGTGTATATGTAATTTGCCCTATTTATTTTTTGGCTAAAATAGTCTATTTTGTCTTTTGTGGCTAAAATAGCCAAAAAAATCCAAATAGCTCTTCCCAAACGGAGCCATGTGTAGAGTTTGAATAGGAAACTGCCTCAGCTCTCGATATGTCTAGTGGCGATTATTTGCCATCAGAAAGGGGGTGATCATTGGCCCAATGGCTCGTCCATGCTGATAATTTTAGAATCTAAATATTAGTGTAAAGTTTGCGTCAGACTAAGTTTCAAGGTATAATGTATTGATTTTTTTTTTGGTATTCATTACAAGGGAGGCTTGAAGTCCGCTATGAATCTTGTTTTCGATAATCAATGTCAATAAAATATCAAAATTTCGTTAGTAACATTTTGCAAGTAAAAAATAGTTTGTGAGATTTATATGTATCTATAACATTTTCATGCAAAATACAAGAAAATAAATACACAAAAAAATATGAAAAGAAAAAGAAAGTAGATTCACTCTGCTTCATACACATCACAAAATTAAGTGTGGTTTGATATTCAGATGTGTAGCAAAAATTTTTAGAGATTTTCAAAAGTTTTATTAAAAATTTTACCAAATGTCTTATAATGGGTATGAGATTCACATGGGACTCAGTTGTGGGTGTCACATTTATGTGAGACATTTTAGTAAAAAATTTTGATAGAACTTTTAGAACTTGGAGATGGGGTCACTGTTGTGCCTCAATTTGAGGTGTATTATGAGGCTTATTTTTATGATCTAAATCATTCATTTTGTAGGATTTGTTGAGTGTTTCAAGCCTATCAAAATCGTATTAATCGGATATCAATAACTATATGATTGAATTATATATTTTTTATGCTATTTTTAAAAGAAAAACTTATTGTATTATTTTTTGGTTATCGATCATATTAGTTATTAATATCCGATTAATATAATTTTTGGTAGACATGAAATACTCAACAAACCCTATAAAAGAACGGTTCGGATTATAAAAAATAAACTAATACACTTTAAATTTTTAATAATCATTATTATACTTTAACACAGTAGTGATCTCATTCCCTTAAAACTTCTAACATTACTCAATGAAGTGTTGAATTTGAGCAAGAAATCCTAAGCGTAGACTTTATTTTATGTGCATGGATCTATGAATCCGGGTTTTGTTTTTTTTTTTTCTTTCAATTTTAAGTGTCTCTACTCTAATAGAACATAATAAATAAATAAATAAATCAACTTCAAATTTTAAAGTTTAATAAAAAAAGGGAAAAAAAAAATTTGCAAGCTAAACAAGCCCAGTTACTCGAAGCCACGTGTGCGCTTATATTTGTAGAGACGACCCTTGGAAATTTCAACCGCAAGAAAGCCTTCTCCGAATGTGACCGTTACAGAAAAGTTAACGTTCCTTTTTTGCCCGACTTTTTTTCAAATTTAAATTTTTTAAAAGGAACGTTCAGTAGTATGTTACCTCTCCAAAACCCAGTCCTATTATAATCAAAATTCGTTATCTTCCATACCCATCTCTTCTCTCTTTCTCTCTCTCACTTCACTGTGAAAAATGGCTCTGGACCTATCGATAACGCTCTTACCATTACACCTGAAAGGCCCAAAAAGCAAACGAAAGTTGCATTACCAATCCAAAAACATCTGATGTTACTGTAATGACGAAAACAAAGCCCCATTTCCACCAACAACTATAGATAGCCACCATTGATTACATCTCTTCTGAGAACCTTCAAGCCCTTACCAGACCCCGAAAATCAAAATCCAAGTAAGTCCCTCTCTCTCATTGAAGCCTCACTTTAATTGAATTGATGTTTCTGTGTTTTTGTTTTTGATTTTTAAGCTTTGGGATGTTTTATTGGGAAGGAAAAAAAAA